CGCACACGCTGCTGCTGCTGACAACGCCAGACATTAGCTTTGTGTATGTGGACATGGCTGCCTACATTGCCTCGGGCGTGGTCATCTGGTTGATTCTCTCCGTGAACTTTCGCAAAGAGCTGGTCAGCAAGCATGGCTGGATCGTGTACATCTCCTCGTGGCTGGCCGTGTGTGTGATGGTGCTGATGGACATTGGGCTGAATTTGTACCATGCCACCAGCCACAATTACATACTGAATCCCATCTACGATGCGTACACGCTGTATGCCATCTACATGTTCATGCCGGTGCCGTATCTGCTGCAGCCATTTGTGCTCGGCTCTGCCGTCACTCTCTGCTACATCTTCAACTACATATTTGTGATCACCTCCAAGGAGGACAACCAAATGCACGGCATCCTCAATGAGGCCATCTACCTGAGCTGCGTCAATCTGTTGGGCATCTTCTTCAGGCTCATGCGGGACATTGCGCTGCGCACCACCTTCCTTGATCGTCGCCAGTATGTGGAGGAGAACCTACTCCTACGCTACGCTCGCGATCAAGAGCGGAGTCTGCTGCTTAGCATTCTGCCCAATCAGATTGCCGATCGACTGCAGGAGGATGTCAAGAATCGCATCGAACGCTCCAAGCAGCAGCACCAGCAGCGATCCCACGTGGATACGCAACGCACAACAGACAGTCAGAACTTAAGGCGCTGGCGTCAGCCAGATCATGGGTAAATATATAAACCATTTCCCACTTCAACCACTCCCGTTTATGTTTAATTCTCTTCACAGAACCCTCTTCATTGAGCCCCATGATGATGTGACAGTCCTGTATGCCGATGTCGTCAACTATACGCATCTGACCACCACGTTGGATGTAAAGAAGTTGGTGGAGGCGCTGCACGATCTCTTTGTGCGCTTCGACATTGCCAGCGAGGAGTACAATGTGCTGCGGATCAAGTTCCTCGGCGACTGCTACTACTGCGTGGCGGGGCTGGTCAGTCCTAATGTGGATCATGCCAAGTGCTGTGTGGATCTAGGACTGCGCATGATCAAGGATATCCGTGATGTAAGGTGTGTACTGTACCCTTTATTATGTTGTACCAATTATTTACTACTCTCCCCTTTTGTTTCCAGAGAGAAGCGCCACCTCAACATTGACATGCGCATCGGCGTGCACTCTGGCGATGTGCTGTCTGGTGTGATTGGCGCCGCCAAATGGCAGTTTGACATTTGGTCCAAGGACGTGGACATTGCCAACCGACTGGAGGCTACGGGTGCCACGGGTCGCGTGCATGTCAGCCAGCAGACGCTGGCCCTGCTGGATGGCGAGTATTTCTTCGAGGATGGCACGGAAAAGGCGCGCGAGGATCCCGTGCTGCAGAAGCATGGCATACGCACCTTTCTGATCAAGTCATTGCGCGTGAGTACGATGGAAATCTATCCCCCAACCAAGGGAGAGGCATTCCACACACGTACACTTACATTGAATCGAAAGTTGTAGGCCCCCATGCACAATCCGAGACGTGTTCAGCGCGAGCGACAGGCCAAGAAGCTGAGCGAGGCAAACAAGTCGAACTTCATGCACAACTCGACGCTGCATCAGTACAATCAGGTGCGCAACCAAGCCAAGCTGGAGATGTGTCGCGAGCTGGACAAGATGCCCATCGGTCGGATACAGTAAGGAGTCAGGAGCAATCCACGCGAATCTAGCCTAATGTCTCTGCTCCTGCAGGCTCACGAAGGTGTTTCGGCGCAGCACTCGCCTAACGCAGGACGAAATCGAGGAGGAGACCTTTCGGCGCAACATCAGCTCGTTCTGTTTGTTCTTTCGCATTCGCAACTGGGAGATGCTGTACATGCGGGAGCCGGACGTGATGCTCAAGTACAGCATTGCCCTCTCCTGGGTCATCTACATGGGATTGCTGACCATTCAATTATTGAGCAAAGAGTGAGCTACACGTACCCATTTTGACCTGTATCTCAGTCTCTAATCTAAGCTCTTGTTGCAGTGCGAGATACCATTACTGGTACATTGATGGCACCACCATTATTCTGCTCACCATGCTGCTGATTGTTTCGTGGTACAAGAAGCTCTGGATTATGTACATGTCCGATGCGGAGGTCTCTGTGCCCACGAGTCGCCTAAGTGGCTTCCTCTTCAACATGTCGGATCTGATGCAGCGCAACGTGGTGCTGCGCATCGTCATCTACTTCCTCATCATTTTCTCCTACTGCGCTGTGGCCGCTATGCAGGTGGTGGGCTGCAGCAACGACGAGGACTACGAAGACAATGATCCCACGATAGAGGAAAAGCTGTTGTGCTTTCATCCCTGGGTGAGCAAAGAGCCAGAAGTTCCCTTGCATTTTGTGATACTTTTATCCACTTTCAGATCCTCACCAACTGCATGACTCTGGTCATTGGCATGTCCTTCCTGTTCACACGGATTCCATTCATCATCAAGGCCTGCTTATCCACCATCATCACCATAGTGTACTCAGCTCTGGTGATATTCGAATTCAATCACATCTACGCCAACAGCCCCTCCACCAATGTCAACTTCAATGCCAAGTACTCGCACATTCTGCTGATGATTATCACGCTGGGCATCTTTCACGTAATGGAGCGACAAACAGAGTTCATAGCCAAGGTGGACTACAAGTGAGTTTGAGGATGGGTTAAGTCTCGATGTCTTTGACCCACTTCTTCCTGTACCCCTCAGCTGGAAGCGGCAACTGATGAAGAAGCAGGAGGATGCCCTAATCACCAACGACACCATCAAAGTGCTGCTTACCAACATATTGCCCTCGCACGTGGGTGAGTTCTGCTCAGGGGAGTGAGCCGTCGAAACTTGCATTAATCTTTGGTGCCACTTCCAGCTGACTTCTATCTGTCAACGCAGCTGCAGAACGAGCTCTACTACGAGGAGTATGACAATGTGGCCGTGATGTTTGCGTCCATCAAGAACTTTGACACTGACAAGATAGGATTGCGTGTGCTGAACGAGATTATCTGCGACTTTGATGATGTGGTAGGTGCCACCCAGCTATGTGACCCTTTGATTCAATGCACTAACTCCCCTCCATCTTCCCTCTAGCTAAACAAATATGCCAGTTGTTTGCGCGTGGAGAAGATCAAGGTGGCCAACTGGACATACATGGCTGCCTGCGGTTTGGACGTGTCCCGTTCCGAGCAGGTCAACGCACCGCAGATGAAGTTTCGCAACGTCTCGCTGATGCCCAACGGTCGTCGCAGTCGCTACGACGGAGCGCGCAACTCCGACTCCGATGGCATCCAGCGCGTGCCCTACGGCAATGGCAGTAATATTGCCCTGGACCTGGACCTGGAGCGGGGTCAGTACGAGGGTAATGTGATAACTAGTGCCCCGCGCACCAGCAACGGCGGACAGCAGGCTGGCAACAGTAGCAACGAGGTGGTGCTGGTTATGGCACGGTTCGCCCTGGATCTGATGCGAGCCATGCGCCGCTTCAATGCCGAGAACATGCAGACGGAGTACGAGGGGAGCACCGACTATGGCATGCTGAGAATCGGCATCTCGCACGGCCGGGCCATGGCCGGGGTGGTGGGCATATCGAAGCCACACTACGACATCTGGGGCAACCCGGTGAACATGGCCTCGCGCATGGACTCCACGGGTGTGCCGGGCCAAATACAGGTCACCGAGAACACTGCCATCAAGCTGCGGGAGTTCAATATACAGTGCAACTATCGGGGCATGACATTCGTCAAGGGGCGTGGCAACATACCCACCTACATCATTGGCACCGACAGCGAATACGAGTTCCTGCCACATCGTCCCGAGCCCAACCAACACAAAGAAGACTAGCTGAATTTAATAGATATTCGATTTTAAGCTTCCACGTATGTAAATACTTATTGATAATAAGCAAACTAAATCATAATGAATGTACTTAATAAACGAATTACCCAGTAAAAGTAAAAAGTATGTACGTATGCAGGTTTTCTGGGGTGGATTAAATGTTTTGCAATCGCAAAGTAACTAAAAGTATGCTACGAATTATATTTTAAACTCACAAAAAGATTTCAAATTAAAATGTGGTGCACACTTTTAGTTACTTTGCGATCGCAAAAAATTAATTCAGTTTTCTATCAGCCAGCTTTTGACACGCTGAAAAAACTTAAAACCAGCTACTTGCTGCTGATTTATGTTCGCCTAGTACTCCGTCAGAAATTTGGCCATTTGAGCGATTCAATTTTCGAAAATTGGTTGTTGTACAAACAAATGTTTGTTGTACAACAATAACAAAAGCCACAAAAAAAATTGTTGTACAACAACAAATATTGACAACAACAACAATGGTTTTGTTTCGTCGTTTTCTCCGTTATTTGTGGGCGGATCAGGACGTGGGACACCTCTTTGAGATCGGGATGATGTCCCCGTTCGTTTGACATCAAGGACATTAAGGATCAATTATCCTTTGCGCCGTATCTTGGCTATTCCTCAACCGATTTGGGCGTGCCACACCATTTCGTAATCGGGACAGCTTTTCTGATCCTTTTCAGTCATGTCCTTTTCCAGGACATCAAGGATTAAGGATATAATTTCTATAACTCGGCCATTTCTCGTCCGAACCGGACGTGATACGTGTCCTCGTGAGCGGAAGAGTCTCAATAATTCTTTGGATGCATCAAGGACCTTAGAAACTGCAAGGATATACCATATTAAGCTATTTTTTGATATAATTAAGTGTAACATCCTAAAAGTATGCCACACTCTTTGAAAAGTAGAGAAGGCTAAGCTAGCTCCAAAAGTATGCCATGCTTTTTTATATATCTAAAGATACAAAAATAAAAATAAATCACACAGAATGTCGCTTTTGTTTTTGCTTTTTTGGATACCAAAAAAGTATAAATATTTTATTGTACGGTTTTTTTTACCCGGTACTCGAACAGTGAATATACTATATATGTAAATACATATCCTAGATAAACTATTTCTAGCTAATATTTTAATCAGAGCTATGACTAAATAAGTTGTATCTGTGATCACATTCGGAATGAATTCTCCATGGCCGAGTTTTAATGAGGATGTGGGAGACAGCCGCTCGCTGGGCAACGTTCGGGTCCTTGAATGGAAGCACTTGAAGGTAAATCCCCTGACGAATTCGCAGTGACTGAAGTAATTTGAAGCCATCTAAACTGCAGGAAAGGTGTCGGACGCTGCAAATGGAAAACTGCGTGTGGAATTACATGAGGCGTTGGGCCACCGCCACGCTGGCTCACTTCATCATAGTCATTGAATGTCTGATGTTTGTTCACATTACTCTGCTCCTGACCCTAGTCAAGGTAATACGGCTCTCCTGGCGATCTGCACTGGTTCTGAAAGGACAAGATAATATTATTTCAGAATGTATACTTTTATGAACTGGTTCCGTACCTGTTGGTTTTGATTCTGATGCCACTGGTAATGATGGTTTGCCTGAAGGATAACCACAAAGAGTGTTACGCCAGCAACATGATAGCCAGCTGGGTGATGGCTTTTCTGCTGACGATTATGGGTATGAAATAGATTCAGTTCTTCGCTGGGTTCACAATATTTCCTACACTCAGACAACTTTGTTTCAATTTCTCATGGCGGCAACGTTGTGCTGATGCCCAGCTACGATCACATTGTGCTGGCTGCTATTTACTTGTATCTGCCAGTTGCGTTCTTGGATCGAGGCAGACCTTATATCCTTGGCCTGGCCGTTTCCGTCGTGTACTTTTGTTGCTCGTGCTGGCGGCTGACGGCCAACAAAGCACAGCTCCTTCCTACTCTCGTGTGCTATGCGTTGTATCTCTTCTATCAGAATCTCGTCTTGGCATTATTTTTCACGCTGCGAGTGTTTGGTGTGCGACGCCTAATTCTCAATCGCCATCAGCTGGTCTACGAAAAAATTGTGCTCAAGATGGTGATGAAGAACGAGAAGGCCCTGCTGGAGTCCATTACCCCAGCCGAAATGGACCAAACGCTGCAGGAGGACATTCGCACGCGCATCGAGGATGAGCGACAGGGTAAAAAGATACCCAAATTGCGGTACGTTAAGCACCTCCCGACCCTGTCCTTCCCTTCTGATCGTTTTCTGCAGCAAACTCTTTGTGGAGCCACATCCGGCTGTGTCCATACTGGTCGCCGACATGGTAAACTACACGCACCTAACCAACACCCTGGATGCGCGGAGTCTGGTCGAGATTCTGCACGAGCTGTTCGTCAACTACGATCGGGCAACCAAGCGGAATGACGCGCAGCGCATCAAGTTCCTCGGAAATGCCTACATTTGTGTCTGCGGCATTCCCATGTACAACCCCGACCACGCCTGCAGCTGCGTGGACCTGGCGCTCGACATGATCAGCATAACCCAACAGGTGCGCGAGCACTGGATGCTGAACATCGACCTGCGCGTCGGTGTGCACTCGGGAGAGGTGTTCGCCGGCGTCATTGGCCACATCAAGTGGCAGTACGACATTTGGTCTAAGGATGTGGACATTACCAATCGCCTGGAAATGTGGGGAGAGCCGGGCAAGGTGCACATCTCCAATCACACTCTCAGCCTGCTGAACGACGAATTTCTCTACGAGGAAGGCACCGACAGTGCCAGGAACGACCCCGTGCTGCAGAAGGCGGAGATCTACACGTACTTGGTCAGTAGTCGTCATCCCGATTTTATGGAGCCCTGCTTTGGTCTGGACTCGAATATTCGTGGTGTCTCCCTAGCCTCGTACCGCACGAGCTACAGCAATATCTACGAGGAGGTGGCAAAGAAGACAAAGAAGAATATGGAGAACGAAGTGAAGCACATGCCAGCCGGACAGTGAGCAGACTCTTACTTCACATCCCTTTATTCTGTATTAAAGATGCCTCCGGTAGATTCATTTACTTCTGTAGAGCCCCCAAAAGGGAAGGAGAGGAACCGAACGAGGATCAACTGTTAAATGCGCACATCACCTATGGCTTGATGAAGTTTCATAGCGCGCGCATGGAGTGCGCTTACATGAAAATGCCAGATCTGCTGATGAAGTACAATCTAGTCATTGTGCTGGTTGCCGCAGTGGGGGTCATCGCGATGAATATTACGGTATCTGTGTATGCCGAATTAACTGATCTCATTTGTTCCCAGTTAATCCGTTCAACTTAATATTTACAGCTCCACAATGTTCAAGGAACTACTTGCGATGCTGCTGGTGCTTGTGCTCATCTGCTTGATTGGTGGCTATAAGAAGTTGTGGCTGCAGTTCCATGTTACGACGCCCATGGGACAGCCGTCCTTCTGCCTAAACCGTTGGCTCATCTGGATGTCGGAGCTAATTGAGCAGCAGACGTTACGTGTGGGCATGCCCCTCTCCATATTTGTCATACTTCTTGTCTTCGTAATCGCCACGACCGGCGTGGTAGGCATCGGGGAAGCACTCTTTCATTGTAACCAGAGCTCATACCTTCCCCTTTTACAGCTTGTGTGCAGCAGAGCCGAGTTTGAGATTGAGTTAATCGAATCGGATGTGGCCGATGAGGAGCCTCAGATGATGTGCTTCCTGCCCTGGGTACTCACTCAATCGGTGATCATTGTGCTCAGCCTGCTATTCTTCTTTGAAGCCCTGGCGCTCTCCTTCAAGATGGGCCTTGGGCTGTTTATCCTCAGCTGCCACCTGTTTATCATACACGCACACTACGGATTCGCGTTCGAGCGATCGGAGACAATCAATATGAACTTAAAGGCGGAATTTGCGCACACCTGGTATCTGCTTGCCTACTTTATAGTACTCTCTGTTAAGCAGCGTCACTCCACGTACATCAACAAGGCGATCTTCTTGTAAGAAAACACATCCAATCCACTGGAAGTCCACTTAATGCCAGCATCCTTCATTGCAGCACTCGAGGGCGCTACGAGAAGACACGCAAACTGACAGAGGACACAACAAAGTCCATCAAGATCATTATGCTGAACATGTTGCCCTCGCATGTGGCTGACAACTTCCTGGAGATACGGCGCAACGATCAGCTCTTCTATGAGAACTTCAAGAACGTGGCCGTGATGTTTGCCAGCATTGAGAACTACGCTGCTGATCGGGCTGGCATCCGAGTGCTGCACGAGTTCATCTGCTACTTTGACGAGCTGCTGGTGAACTTTGGCCGCAAGTACAAGATCGAAAAGATCAAGGTGATGGGCTGGACGTACATGGCTGCCTGTGGCCTCTCGGCGGAACATTACACTCCTGTCAGAAAAGAGGAATCGGAACTTAGCTCGAGATCAAGTGAGGATATTCAATTCTTACCACAGCAGGCTTTCAAACTGTTCTTCACAGATAGCGTACGCGTCGGGTCCAACGAATCTTCAGAGCCTTCCTTTTTGATGGATGACGACGAGTTCGTTTTAATCATGACTGATTTTGCCGTCCATCTGTTGCGCATCATGAACAACATCCAGGTGGAGGACATCTTCTACGAGCTCGATCTGCCGAAAAGCTTGCGGGGGTGCCTGAAAATTGGTAAGATTTGTCCGTCCCTCTTACCCCTTCCTTACCACTGTCTCAAATTGTCGTAGGAATCGCTCATGGGCCTGTGAAGGCTGGCGTTGTGGGCCACTCGAAGCCGCACTATTACATCTGGGGCAGCACCGTTAACATGGCATCCCGCTTGACAAGCACAGGACTGCAGGGCGCTATCCAGGTGGGCGAGTCCACTGCTCAAGTGCTGCGTCGCAACAACATCCGGTGCAGCTATCGGGGGCAGAGTTGGCTGGAGGGCATGAGCAACTATCCCACATATGTGGTGGATCTGGATGACACTCTAGAGTTTCAGTACAACGATGAGAGGTCTTCTGAACAGGACAGCGAGGAGGAGCAGGAAGAGCGCACTCTTGGCGGTAGCACGGGCAGCGACTGCTAGTCTTATGATATTTTTACTTAGTATTAATATAGATTTATTAAGAATATATAACACACATAGAGATATTCATATAAGCAAATGTTCTATATGAGGTTAAATACGTTAGATTTGAGCACTCGCAGACGCAGACTCGTACGTCCGTCTCTTCACAACTGGTAATCAGTGTACATATAAATATGTGGAAAGCTTTCCAGTACACATAGTCACATTAAATATACATATATATAATATGTACTGTAGATGCTATGGGGTAAGGTAAGACATGCATCTCAACGAAAATAAACAGCATGAATAGTCAACAGAGCACCACATGGTATCAGGTTTCCGTTTCGTTTTGGGTTTTGTGCACAGTTTTGAGCAATTTTAAAAGCAATTTGCTGCTGGTTTGGGGCATGTTTTCTGTCGGTCAAGTAGCGCCTTACTCATTGCCCGAGTTGGAGCTCAGCAGTGCCGTGTCCTCGGGTATGGGTTTGCGCCTGTACGATGGCTCCGTGGCGAGGTAAACCACAAGCGCACCAAATACCACATACAAGACTCCAATTACATTGGCCAGGACACCAGCAGGTGGCAATGTGGAGTACGGTGGAGAAGTGCTGCAGAAAATATAGAAAATATCCATTAACCATTGTCAGACAATCAAATATGAATGGATCCACTTACATGGCAAAGATTGCCTTCTCGGTGATGCCCATGACGGCGCTCGCAATGGCCAGAACGAAGCCAAACAGACCAAAGTAGATGTGCAGCGGCATCATGGCAATCTTGTAGTTTTCCCTTAGGCCTGGGGCGAGGAATGCCACGAACCCGGCCACATACTGCAGCCCAAAAATGATCACCGAGGAAAGGCCCAGCCAAGAGTGCAGCGAGTACATGTTGGGTATGGGCGGGCTGTTCAGGTTGTGCGAATCGAAGACCGCCTTCAGGGCAATGACTGTCAGAACGAAGGCGGCCATATGGATGCCGGCGTGGGTGAGCTTCAGGGTCTTCTTGCGAGTGGTGCGGAAACCGCGATACACCAAAATGGCTGCAATGGGAGCGGAGATTAGTTTAATCCAATGTGCAGTCTGCACCTCTTCCGCTTGCTGCTACTCACAGTTGCCATACAGATAGATGAAGCCAATGGTCATGAACAGCGGATGCCAGTTGAACTCCAGCTTGGGATTCGAGCTGCCACCCAGTCCACCAAAGTGCTGGCCTATCCAGGTGCCCACCAGCACGATCATCGTCAGGCCGCACAGCTGCGTGAGTACGTACAGCACCTTAAAGTTGATCAGCGCCGGATCCATGTTGGATTTGGTGCCGCCTGGACGGGGGAGAAAGAAAAAGAATTGTTTAAAAATAGAATTCAAGAGCCCTATTAAACATATGCCCACGCATTCCGATCATTCCTTTGCCACGCGATCTCATATTTTGCGATCTAATCATTGAACATACAAGCTCACGCACACATTCCATCCACTCTACATATGCTTCATAAAGATTTTCCGTATACTCGTACTTGCACAACATCTTTTTTTAGTGGCCATAAATATTGCCCTTCCCTTGTGCCTTTTCACCTGCCTGCTGGTGTGCGTCTGGAAGTGATTAAAATACCCCTTAAAACTAGTGCTGATAACCACATTAGTTGATTACAAGTCTCCTGCTTTGACTACATAATCCGTTAACAATAATTAAAGCCCACAGGTTGTTTGGAATTGGCCGAATACCCCGCACGGGACATGCCACTTTCCCCGACTGCCAGACAGATATTTGATCCATCATCGGAAAGCAGCCGCATTTCTGCCACACAAACAAAGATCCTCCTTTGACGCCAGCAATCTGAGATTATGATAAACATAATGAGATCTAGACTTTAGAAAAGCAAAGATTTATTGGAAACACTCGATTCCATTCCCACAATATTCTCCAATTACAGTTTGCTTCTTATCTGGTTGAATTCTTCTAAACTTTTCTCGTCAACATTTCTGATTGTTTATTTAACAATTATTAATGCAATCGAAGTGAAAATTTGTGTCTCTGTCAAGCAGCTGGCAAAGCTCTCTGGCAAATGGAAAACATCGATATTCCCAACTGAATATAAAACTGTTAGTTGTAAACTGCCGTAAATTGTAGCCATTATGTTGTTTCCATATGCCACGCTTGGGTCCGTCCCCCAGTTATCAAATAAATAAGAATACGATGTTCCAGACTTGGGTTTGTTTTTCTTTTCTTTTTGGGTTTTGGGCTATCGGACAAAAGTGAAATTAAATGGCATATTAATTAATGATTATGATTGTTAATTATGACGTGCCAGGGCGTCTGTCTGTGCTGTGCAGCAAAGCGTTGCAACAGATCGTGCGCAAAATTTAAGAGAAACAATCTACATACTCGCAAAAGATGAAAAGTAAAACCTCCGCCGATGACGACTTTGGAAAAGCGTACAAAAAATATGTTGAAGCCAGCAAAAGTAAAATAAATAAAGCGAGTTAAAGAAACGCAAAGAGATTTGTATGTACATATTTATGTACATAAGTATATGTATGTTGAAAAACTAAAGTGAAATTCAACTTGAAGTCGAGTCGTGCTCATCGTCATGATGATGATGATCGCAGGGGGGCCGGATCGGGCGCATGTTGGGAGGTGTGGCAATGGCAATGCAGTTTTTAACGGTCCCTCTCTCTCTCTCACTCACTCTCTTTTTGTGTTGGTTTGTCTGTGCGTTTTGTTATAACTTTTACTAAACTAAACTCTTGTGGTTGTTGCTGTTGCCACTGCCACTGAGACTGCCACTGTCAGGTTGTTGATTTTACTTTGCACTAATCAAACTTGCAGCCGAAACTTGCAAAGCCATTCACTGTCTGCACCTGTCTGCCCCTGACTCTGGTCTGGCCTGCTGTTGGTTTGCTGTGTGTAGTTGTTGTACCTTTGCTGGCTGCCAATTCAATGCCTCCAACGGTTATTGCTGGCTGCACTTGTTCTGCTGCTGCCACGGCAGACACTTCCACGGCAGTTATCTGCAGGGCAGGCACAGCTGCCGCCTTCTCTCCTCCTCCTCCTCCGTTCGTTACGGAGATCACTGTAGTGACTGCCGTTCCAGTGGTCGTCCCGGAGGATGTAAGCTGCTCCTCTGGCGTGGTGGCCACTGACTCCACTTTGATTTCGTTTGCGGGCACCGCCGCCTGCTCTATGTCCGAATCCTTCGACATGGCTGATGGTCACTGTTGTGGGTTGGTATTGGAGTTTGGTGGTTCGGGGGGCACTGATTAATCAATAGTTCACCAAATGGCATGCAAAGCCAGCGGTTAATTGCCACAAGACACAACACTACAGCAACACTACAACTATGCAACTACGGTACTACGGCACTACGCTACTACTGGGATCAGCGACACGACCTACGATACGATACGATACGAGACGACGAGTGTACAACCGAACGCTTCAACGTGCAATGCGCAAGTGAATTTAAAGTTTTCCAGCTGCCACCCGCCGGAGCTTAAAAATGGCAAAGGAAGGCACTTTGCGCACCGAAGTTTGTATACCCTTTAGCCTACAGATTGATACATTTCGAGGAGAAAGTCTTCAGAAAAGACAGACGGACATCGACACATCGAATCATACTCATGTTAGATTGTGGTCTTGCTCTTACTTTATTATACTTGAAACCTTAAGCTCGTGGAGCTCCCTTCGCTCCTCTCTGTGCTTTATAGTATATGTACCACCCCCACTTTACAAGAGTACACATCAAAAAGAGCTTTTAATGCCTGTCAAATTGTGTTGCTAATCTACGCTGCTATTAAAGCGTAGTTAATTGTTTAGTTTGTACTACTGCGGATTTCAATGGCTATGAAAAGGGTGGGAAGGTAAATGAGTGTGCGGGTGCTGGGGTGGTTAGTATGCCACACCAGACTAGATACGGCTGCACGAAAGGGGGTGAAGGTGGGTGGTGAGCGGGCACCTTTTGCATTCCTTACTCTATTGATGCCCCGTCCGTCACTGAGCTGCATTTCAATTGCGACTTTGACTAGATTGTTAATGTTCTATGCATAATAATGTGATATACATCTAAAGTTCCTTCTTTAATACAAGTGCACACACACACACGGGGCACTGACTGATGATGTCTGATGATGGGGCACTTACCCAGAGAGAATAACATTGCGTATGCTTATTACTTTCTTCTCTTTTTCAGATAATACTTTTGGAGTGTGAATGTATAAACTCAGCTTATTTTTGCAGCTCTATAAAGATTTGCAGCTGCCGGAGAACAATGGACTGAAATATATGCAATTTTTCCCGCTGCGACACTTTTTACTTGTTGAACGAATTGCGTTCTAATGACTGTTCGCTGCCATATGGGACGAAAAACAGTGAAAATGTCTGCAAAGGCTGCTGCGTGGGCGGTGGCACCCTACACCCACCCTTCCGTGTAGGGTGTCTGTGCCTCTGCTCTGGCTGCAAGCCGCAACAATAAGCTTTTGTTAAAAAGCTCGAACATTCAACACTCATACAAAGGCATACGCAAACGCTTTCTAACAGTAATACCACACACACACAGCTACAGTTGGGAACCACTTGTTGAATATGAAAGATACCGCAAGACAACGTTTTACTTTCGTACATTTAGTAATTAAACGTGGCTAAAAAATATACATATATGTCGAGTGGTAGTACTTACAGTTCAAACTTAGTTAGCGGCAAATATGTACTACACTAAATATGTACTAGTTTTGTAAACGTTTTGCTTGACACACACACACACGCGACAAAAAATCAAAACAACACGAGATGCTGCCAAAAAAGCAAACAAGAACAAGATTTCGCGACGTCAGCAGCGACAGCCCGAGAACGTCATGAATTCATTGACCGACTATTTCCTTTATCAATTTAAGTGCAAGGTCAAGTGGCTTTCACTCTCTAAGGGTTTCAAATTACTAATCGATCCACTCATGGTCTAAATGCTCGCACAAGTGTCGTCTTTTGTTTCTGCTGCTCACTCATTTGGAAAAAAGCGGGACAGACCCACTAGGGCTGGAACGCACACAAAAAGCGATAGAAGACGAAGAATTAACATGTCACCGACAAA